AAATTTTCCGAAGAACAGAAATCAAAATTAGAATCATTAGAGAAGAACCCAAAAATTTAGTCACAAAGATTACCTGCGATAAAATGGTCGACAAAAATGGTGATGCAACTAGCTGTTGGATCAAATTAACTGAACGAACGAAGCGAAGCACCGCTTGCGAATAGACGCATTCTACCGAACGTCGTTGCTGAAAGAGTGATGGAAATTTCAATCAATAAATCAATTATTGGTCAGTATCTGGAATGGAAAGATAAAATTAGCGAACAACAATGAAAGGCCACTTCACTATATGGTTTTACAGAAAATCAAGAAACTCAAAAACTCTCGATCATGCCAAATAGCCTCTTACCAGCAATCGGAATGACGGTTCAATGAGCGATGAAAATTGAAGTTGGAAGGGATTCTGTGCTCCAATAAACTGCTCCAGGACGGACAGCACTTGGATGAAATCCCGTCGGTTGTGATTCTAAAATATAATTCATGAGCTATCGAAAACCAAAATAAGCACATGTTTTGCTAAGCAAAGAGGTATTTTTGGCAGACAAATCGAAGAAGAACAAAAAAAAAACTCACCAATCTCGTACAACTGCCCAGAACCGTCAGTGAATGACTTGAAACCCAACAGCAGCAAAAGCATAGATTATTTCCGGATGGATCAGTCTCCACAGAATCTTTAACAATGCTGATAAGTACCAATAATGCTAAGTAGTTACTTGAGGTTGTCAAAAACAAAAAAAAAGAACAAATAGCTCATAAAGAGCACAATATTATTAATGAAACAGGGGAGGACAGATCGTTTGCGGTGGATAAAGAGGAAAGGCTGAATTCGTCAAGAATGTACAAATAAATAGGATAATTACCACACAGCGCCTCCAACACGACCAAAGCCGCTTTGCCTCGCATCCGCACCGGATCGTCGTCATCGAACTCTGAAACACCAGCTCAATGGATTTTTCGGTAACCATTGTTACTACTGTTACATTCGTGAGCTCGTATACCCCAAAACCCAAACCCAATATAGGTAGCCGCAACCGCAGGGCAAAGTTCACATAAACTACATGCAGCACACGCAAAACGAGTAACTCAATTCCTTAAGGGGTACTTTGTGGTGTGCATCCGACTAAGGCTGTTGCAAATTGCAAATCGCTGGCGAACCGCGGAGTACAAGCGATGCGCCAGCAGTTCGAGCGTTGAACCAACGATTTGAGTGTGTAGCACTAGAGAGAGTCCCTCTCTTGGTACATTAACACTCACCCTTTTTTCCAGTCTCTCATGCCCTACGCGAGCCTGGAAAGAGTCAACGAGCGTATGAGAAGTGCTTTTGCCACTTTACCATACTTTCGAATCCCAGAACATCGTTCCAACCGCTGGCGCTCCTCTCGAGCCGCCGGCACATCGCTCGTACCCCGCGATTCGCTGGATTGAAGCCTGGCAGCGGCCTTGAAATGTTGACCACCATTTCGGGAAGTTGAATTGAAAAAAGTCCCAGTAGAAGAGTGAAAGACGATTTCGAGAAATTTGCTTCACCAAATTATAACGGTCACACTACGATAAAATATGAGTTAATCTGTGATTAGACACTCAAAGCAACGGGATTACTGGTGCATTTAAGAGCGCTTGTTAGTGAGGACTGAGGCGGACGAAATGGATAAAAGTTTGAAAGTGAGAGCAGGGAATCATCGGAAACACTAACGTAAGACTAAGGCCTCAACCTCCGGTAATGCCGGATATGTTACGCTAGTGAGACAAGACGATCAAAGAAGACAAAGAGAGAGCCAACGTTTGAGAGAGCCGGGATTCTACAGCATCGCGGGGGTGGGGAAGCGTTGTAGGGGGTCGATGAGCGCCCATAAGGATGAGCGCTCTAATAGCACAATTTGTGCGACAAACTAGCATGATCTGCAGGTGTGGACCTCACAAGCTCGTCGCGGTATCCTTCCTACTAATAGGGCTTATCCTGGAGTGCTTTAACATTGAACTCACCGGAGCTACCATATCCGAGATCCTATATCGTATTGTACTCGGATTAAGAACACTTCGAATCGCACGAGCATATCGTGCCACCGATTTTCGTGCCTTGAGTAGCTCGACCATTTGCGATTGAAGAGACGGTCGTATGGCGCACAGTTCACGAAGAATCCGTCCAGCGTACAGAGCATGGCATGGCAGGTCATCTGCCTGAAACAATTTAACTCTCATTAATTGATCGAAAACTTGCACATACGCAACCCACCTGCTCAATGTATAACAACACAATGTCCAGAATGTTAATTCCAGATGGCTGAAGCGGTGATAGCAGTAGTGTCTGCAGCGGGGTCAACATAATATCCGAATCGGTACCTCGGATCGACGCACGAAATACTGCATAACGTGAGACGGCAGCTAAAATAAGATAGTAAAGGATCAGCAACAGCTCCAGGATAACATTCCAATATATGTATTTTCAAGGAATTCCACCTAAAGGCGATGGATAAAACTGAAAAGAAACCTGAATTGGTATTATTTACGATCGATTCAGGGGATTGTGCGAGCCTACAGGGAAGAGAAGGCAACAGACAAAAGGGTCAGGTGGCGGGATAACTGGAGAACAAAGATGATAGATGCACAGACGAGGACGCTACCCAAAAGGCGGAGTTGGCAGCGTCAGGGACGTTGCCGCCGTTTCAGCCCTTTCTACAAATTATGACACTCGCTCGGATTTTCTAGACCTCGGGCAGAGAATAGAAGTGAGATGTACTGGATCGATATCCGAGACCCAAAACTTGCACAAATCCTAGAACACTCACCCGAAATCAATTGGATGGCTGGAAGAGCGGCTGCTGATGTTCTACGAGGTGTAGGTGATACAAGCTCTTGCACATTCACATCTTCAAGAAGTACCGCACAGAATCGAAACTACTATGAGAAGAAAACAAAAGTTATCCCTGCCCAACCAAGCGGCACCCTCGAAGGCGGCTCTCAAACACATCGTCCGATGACATACACAGTAATTAACCAATCAAAATTAGAGTACCATCTCGGAAGTAAGCACAAAAAATCTCGTTTACCGCTCGGATAGACGGCTGTGTCGTTAAGAATCTGTATCAGTAGAGCCACATGAGGTTCCCTTCGAATCACTGAGCGAGTGTCAATATACGACTGCTTCAGAATACAGAGCAGGGCTGACAACGACACCTCTTCGAGTTCGTACTGAAAAGCAACAGATTAATTGAAAGAATTAGGGATATGATCGAGATAGGATTTTTTCGAATTTTTTTTTGAATAGAAGCAATGATGAAAGTGTGAAAAATTAGCATGATGACAGAAGGATTGAAGATGACCATCCTTTGCGGTGTTGCCTAGCCACCGATAATAAACTTCCGGCATACGTTTTTCGAATGAGCTGAGTTACCAGCAGGCTTACCAACCTATATAGTTATATTGAAGCCAAATCACATAATGATCAATGGGTATTGCCGGAAATGTTACCGTTACTATATAGGTGCTCGGGTTAGTATATAATCCGTAAAATGTTATTTGTATCTCAAACCAAAAAAGGATAAGAAGGACAGAACGTCAGTTACTGATGGACTCAGTCTCATGATGAGCCTTGAATATGATTTTCTGCTAGAACTTTGAAGAAATTTCTTATTCACTTCCCAGGAATTGAGCGGAATTGGAGTGCCATTTCTCAATATCGAACATGCAGGTAAATCAATCAGTTATCTTAATTTCATCCTTCCGAACCAACCAACCTATAATGCGACCCAGAAGAAATGATTGCTTATGATTAGCCTCGGAGGGAGTCGAGTCAGGACCTAAAATCTCCCTAAAACATCTCTATCATGACTCTCTCCGACAATCTCTAAGGCGATCCTTACCCTTCCCGCGAATAGCAAAAGCCATATATGACCAACCCAAAAGTCTCAAATACGATCCTCTCCCCTTGGACTTGGTTTAGTTGACGGTTGACCCTAGACCTAGCGCCTGAGAAATATGCATTCTAAATCAATGAAGTGAAGAAAAAACCAGAAGAGAAAACACTTCTAAATTCTAAATTAAATTATTTAAATTACAATAAAATAGTAATGTCAACACCAGCGCCACTTTGTTTCTCTGCATATCGCATTACACTCCCACATGACAACCGGCGGGCTGAGCTTTGCACTTTCACCATCGGTCTTGCAACATGCACTTCTTTCGAGTTCCATATCAACTTTTGCGTCCCTATACTCTTTCTTTCGCTTTTCCAACTTCTTTACAACTCTATCTGGTGTAAATCAATTGGAATGCTAACTAAATTTTTCTAACACGTTTTTATCACTATTTAATTACAAATGATTGAAGAAAATCCCCCGTCTCACGTATCATAGAACGCCAACCATACAAGCACGACAGAATCCCAGCTTTCCATCCTAACAAACTCTTCACAATTGAGAGCGCAAGCAAGTGAATCTAGAACATGTCTGTGGAGCAAAATTCGCTCTTTCTCTGCTCCTTGTTCCTTACGACTGTCACTGAGAAATCGAATGAGAGCATTATATTTAATTCGCAGAAAACTTCACTCATGACACCGGCCGAAATTGTCTCAAACCGTTTACGTTTTGCAGAATCCTTGAGATGACCCAAGAAAGGAACCCAAGCACATGTTCGAACTATCGAAGCGACCTCTTCGCAAGGTTGCGAGATAACAGGACCATAAATACTGCCTTCAACAACGACATATCTTCGCGGTTGCATTACATTGCTTGGGCCTTCTGTTTATACGTTTTCATTGTCTACCCATGTTAGAAAGTGCCTTCGCACATTCACTCGTTGTTTATAGTCTGGTCCTTAAATTTTGCTATTCTTCCTTTCAATCAAACGCTTTAACATCATTATCATCACTGGCGCGCCTCAAAATTTTTCGCATTGCGCTCGACATTCTTGAAAATTTCTCCCTAGACCTTGGATTTGGATGAACTACTAGGTGGAAACAGAAGAATGTTCATGGAGACGAATGAGAAATCGGTCAATTTCCGGTCATTCCGTGGTGATGTTATCCCAGAAGTTAGAAGTAACTTATCCGAAACGGTCAACACCTAGCAACAATGAAGGGAAACAGAACAGATGCCGCAAAAGAAATAGAAAAGTGGAGAGAACATAAAACCACCCCAGGAACCAACCAAAGCGATCCCTGGGTTAAGAATAGCGCATTGGACGCTTAAAAATCTCTTTCTTCGGATGCGCCAAGCATTCCGCTTCTATTCAGAATCCTAAGGCATTTTGAACGCGATCTTTCTCATTCAATGCCATCAGACCCAGCCGATGCACAAGACGGTTTTTTTCTTCTGGACAAATAGCAATTACGCAACCGCAGAAGGATGAAAACCTCTGTTGGCTTGATCGGTGCACGATGAGAGATTTGATCATCGGACCATACGTCTCTGGTAAACTGTGCCACATGTCACGATACCACCTCCACCCTACTGTCCCACATAAGCCTATATACGTCGCTAATCAGATAGACCTCGTGGGACTGAATATATCTATGTAAACCAATGACAGCTTGAACGATGGAAGAAAACCCAAACTTTTGTGCGAATCATAACTCCCGATAGAGAAAACTACTAAAATTAAGTGCATGTGTTCCTCGCCTACGGTAACAATATGCTCAACATCTTTCTCAATCTTAATCTCAAATTCCTCACTACAACAGTATCTGATAAGAGTTGTGTTTCGAGGGATAAAAGGTTGGTCAAGACCTTTCTCAGCGCGTGGACCAATTTAACGCATGTACTAGAACATTTTTCCTATCCGGCAGCCAGAGCCATCCACAATGTATTCCTAGGGCCAAACTATATGGCTTGAAATAATCAATAGCATCAAAAACGATCTTTCAGAGATCATTTTCACTTGCAGTCACTACTCTACAAATCCAACAGCTCACGTAGCGATGGCCTCGAGAGGTTCGAGCTAATTTTTGTTGCTACTGATAACGTTATGCCGTATGGTCTGGTGCTAAGTTCGAATTACGGACTGCCTAGCTGCCGGACACATAGCACATCCTACTCTATGCGTCAAATTGATCGTGTCGCAGTACCGTACTGTTCCTGTTCATTGTTGAATCTAGTAGACTTGAAATTTTGCTATTCATTTTGCGCTGAAAAACCAAGTGTGTTGACGTCTCGTTCTAGGCGTGCCTAAATTCTAGTCTATTGCATTTCAGAGGCTCGATTTACGTTTGAGAACTCATCTATAGATCCCATTTGATCGTTCCTTCCGCGAGCAACAATGAAGGATGACGACTACGAGATAGTAGACTCCATCGCGCCTGATGATCGCGCTTGGCTTGAGTGGAAGAATCTGGTCGAAGATGAAGGATGGACTTCAGATGATCTCAGCGTATTGACTCTTACGCCCAGACTTTCCTCAACACGAATTGTTCTAGCACGGAAAAGAAGTGGTAAGCGGCAAACGTTATTTATGCGTACTGGAGTGCGCTCAGAGTTAGCCTGATTTTATAGGCCCTAGATGGCAACCCTTGAAGAGGCATTTCAAGTCTTGATAATAAAAATTGACAAGTTGGGAGATTAGGGTACAGTTCCTCAACCAGATACACCATTACTGATGTTTCCAGATGGCAGCTTCATTGGCACCGTTATTTGGAACGAATATGATGAAATCGCTTTATCGGATTCTATCTCCTGAAGCCTGAATACCGAGGAAAAGGCATCGGCTCAATCATCTGGAAACGTGCAATTGAAAGAATGCCGAAGAATTATACAATTGCGCTCAGAGCAGGTATACTGAAGATGCTGGAAGAAATATGTTAAAATTGAAGGTGTCATCCAGTAAGGGGAGGAGAGGGTATTGCGGTTCCCAGCTTGTTCATAACCACAAAATTCATTCCTACTGCAGACGTTCAGGATGCCTAAGAGGGGGAGGGGAGACCTCTGGGTGCGCCTGCAGCCTTTACTTTCCGGAGCTCC